AGAGATCTGTGTGCATCCAGCTCCTGGTGCTGGGGCTTAATTCCACTGACTGGCTAGCTTGGAGATTTTGTTAGGCTCATAACAACGAGAATGAGGAAGTCTCTAACACTTTTACCTACATGTGGGATCTTTTTCCTCCTACTGGGTTGTGTTGTCCACCTCCACATGAGGGTGTGTGACTAGTCTTATTGCATGCTGGTAGGTCATGTTGCATTAATATCAACGGGAAGGCTGCACTTTTCTGAAGGGTGATGGAGCAGTGGATCTGGGGAGAGAGGAGGTGAAGTTGTTGGGGTTACTGTATGACAGAAGAATAAACATGAAAAGAGAAGTGCCATCCAAAGTGCCTTTCCTTCTGCCACTGTCAGACAGACTCACCCCCTTCTCTCCTACTTCCTTGCAGGGACCCTCCATAAACCCAAAATCAAGACTGAGCCAGGATCTATGATCACCTCAGGAAGTCCCGTGGACATCTGGTGTCAGGGGACTCTGGAGGCAGAAATCTATGCTCTCCATAAAGAGGGAAGACAAAAACCTTGGGGTACACAGACCCCAGAGAAGCCGGAGAACAAGGCCAAGTTCTCCATCCCTTCTGTGACCCACCTAGATGCAGGGCAGTATCGCTGTTACTACTACAGCTCGGCTGGCTGGTCAGAGCGCAGTGACACCCTGGAACTGGTGGTGACAGGTGAGGGGACAGGCAGGGTCTCAGGCTCTGCTCTCAGGAGTATTCCCCTCCCTCAGCCTAGCCCTGAAGAACATTGTGGCTGTGTGAGCACATGTAACAGTCTGCCGCCTTCTGTCCTAGGAATCTACAGGATTAAACCCCGACTGACAGCCCTGCCCAGCCCTGTGGTGACCTCAGGAGGGAACATGACTCTCCAATGTGTCTCATGGGTGGGATATAACAAGTTCATTCTCACCAAGGAAGATCAGAAGTTCCTCAGCTCCGTGGACTCACAGTATATACACAGTACTAAGCGGTACCAAGCCTTGTTCTCTATAGATCGTGTAACACCAGATCACAAAGGGACATTCAGATGTTATGGTTACTACAATCATACCCCACAGTTGTGGTCAGTACCCAGTGACCCCCTGGAAATACACATCTCTGGTGAGTCACTCCCATCATTGACCAATCATATCTGATTCCCGATGCCCTTTGCCATGGAAGTGCCCCACTGGGTAGTTGCAGATAAAGAGTAAGAAAGGAAGAGCCTGGTTCCTGAGCCTGAGACCACCCCTGGGTAGAAGCAGTGACATGGGCAGGGCAGGATGGGAGAGGATAAGTCCTTGGTAAAAACCAGCTCCTCCATCACTAACCTGTCACCTTCCTCTAGGGCTGTCTAAGAAGCCCTCCCTACTGACTCACCAAGGCCATATCCTGGATCCTGGAAAGAGCCTCACCCTGCAGTGTTGCTCTGACATCAAATATGACAGATTTGCCCTGTACAAATTGGAGGGAGCTGACTTCATCCAGCAAGATGGCCAGTTGACTCAGTCTGGTCTCCACATGGCCAACTTCACACTGGGCTTTGTGAGCAGCTCTACTGGAGGCCGGTACAGATGCTATGGTGCTCACAACCTCTCCTCTGAGTGGTCAGCATCCAGTGACCCCCTGGACATCCTGATTACAGGTGAGGAACTAAATAGATTCCCTCGGGCACCTAACTTCTACTAGGGCTCTCTTTGGGGAATTAAGGAGGTGATGGCTGGGATGAGGGACAGGGATATTATTTGGGAATAGATACAGAAACAGGGGAGCAGGAGAGGGGCTCAGGAAAAGAAAAGAAACAGAGTCCTGGGTGTTCACAGAAGATCCAGGTGATGTGATGTGTCAGCTCAGAACATTGAAGGCAGCCTCTCATCATCTCTCTTTTCTTTAGGACAGTTTCAGGTCCGTCCTTCCCTCTCTGTGAAGCCTAACTCTACGGTACACTCTGGAGACAATGTGACCCTGTTGTGTAAGACAGCAGACACAGTGGACACTTTCATTCTGTCCAAGGAAGGAGCAGTACACCAACCGCAGAGGCTAAAACCAAAGTCTCAAGTTCAGGAGTTCCAGGCAGAATTCACCATGAGTGCTGTGACCTCTGACCTCTCAGGCACATACAGGTGCTATGGTTCTCAAGACTCATCTGTCTACCTGTTGTCATATGCCAGTGCCCCTGTGGAGCTCACTGTCTCAGGTGAAGAGATTCTCAACTGTCGTGCTAATTCATAATCCAAACCCTAGGAGAGTTCTTAACTTTGAGGGGACTAAGGGGACAATAAGAATGGTTAGTCAGAAGGCAGTTTCCCCGCCAGAGAAGTGGATACCAGCAGGGATCCCTCAGGAAATGTTCACTCTATTCTCTCTTGCAATCTAGGTTTGGGGTAGACAACATGAGGATCTTGAAGATCTTGCAGGGCAGATGGAAATGATTGAGCAGAGGCAAGTCCCTGGGTTAGCATCTAGCCCTTACCCTCCAATTGTTCTGTTTCCTAGGACCCATTGAAGCCTCTAACCCACCACCCTCAGCTGGTGAGTATCAGGCACCTCAGTGCAGGGAGTATGTCCATCTCCAAAGCCCTTATTTCTCTGTCACTTCAGCTTGGGAGGGAGGGAGGCAAGCAGATACTCCAACAGACCCCAGAAGCCCAGGACTTAGAGGTTGGGGTACAGAAGGTGGCATCCAGAGAAACATGTTCTGGTTCAGTCAGGAGGATGGGTCAGGTGGGTGAGATGGACATTGCCTGTCCATCCTACCTCTAAGACCCTAAGAACAAGTCTCTCACCTGCATGGATGGAGGCAGGCCCCAGAGAGCTAATAAGGACTCTATTGGGAGGTGGGTTCTGATGGGCAATAACTAGTTATGGGCTTGGTAAATCTACTTCTGAAGATGCTGGCTGAACAAGCCCTTCCTGGTCTGAACTGACTGCTGTTTCTCTGAATATAAAGGGGGCCACATGTCTAAGTTTCTGTCTGACCTCGGCTGCACCTCTACTGTGAGAGAGGAGGTCTCCAGAACTTGGTTCAGCAGTCGGTCTGCCCCACAGTGGTGGTGCCGTGTACAAGGGTGGGGCACAGAGCCATGGCAGGGCATTTAGGATGAAACTCAGCTTAGGTAGAGAGAAAAGAGCTGGAAGTCAGAGTCCCTGGGTTCAACTCCCAGCTCTGCCCTTTACAGTCATGATTTGAGGCAGGTGAACTGTCTGGAAGGAAAAACAGACAATTCCTCGCTGCACGATTGTGAGGAGATGATGAGTGCAAAGGTCCAACAGCACCTGCCACACAGTAGGTGCTCAGACAAGCATCAGCAGTCCCCACTCGTGTCACTTGTGCCTCAGGACTGGAAAGATATCTGCAGGCTCTGCTCGGAGTTTCTGTGGCCTTCCTCCTGTTCCTCTTCATCCTTGTCTTCCTTCTTCTCCGACGAAAGCATCAGGGCAAATTCGGGAAGGAAGGTGAGTACGGTCTGGGTGACCTGGGTCTCATGTGGTGAT